GAGAGAGAGAGAGAAGCGTGCGTGCCTCGCGAATGTGTGTGTGTTGTGCGTGTGTGTGGCGCGCGCGCACGCGCGCGCGCGCGCGTGCGTGTGTGTGTTTCGTTATTACGCGCGATGGGTGTATTGCAAATAAACGTATCGACACACACGTCGTACTCCACACTCCGCCGCACAACACGGGTCTACACCTTGTCACCATCGACGCCGCCCTGCGCGTTCGTTACGCGCGTATATTATTCATCCCGCGTGTCGACTACGTTGAGACGATAATGGCCGGTTGTCGCTCGTCTATCTTTACTGACGTCACTGTTAACAGGTTGGGCGAAAATACGTCCCGCCGACAGCCTCATCGTCGTCGTGGTCGTCGTGGTCGTCGTCGTCGTCGTCGTCGCGCTTGTTAACTGCTTCTTCGCAAGAGGATATTTGTGCAAAATGCGAAACAGCCGGCTGCGACATGCGTCGCGTCGTTAATTAGAATCCGTTGACGGAATTAATTATGTATTTCAGCCGCGTGTACATTGCGTTTATATAAATAATGGAATTAGATATTAATAAATTTTATGTTTGTCTTTCAGGTCAGATAGCGAGCGTAAGATGTTGAACCCGGAAACTGGCTGCTACTCCGAATCCGTACGAGCATGGTGAGTCAATGATTGATTTTACCGATCCTGCGATAGCGAAGTTATTTCTCTTTCTAATATGTACTCACTTTTGTCTATACTATCGTATATCCATTTTCGATTGCGGGGATTAACAAAAATATTATACGGTTTTTTTTGTCGAAACGAAGTTAACGTCGACGCGCAAGCGATCCCCGCGGAGATTTTAACTATTTTAACCGGTGCGGCGTTAAACAGCGGACACAATGGGCATGAATTTTTGTATAATTCGCCACCATTCACTCAATTTTGTCGAAAAATCTATCACCGTTGTTATTCCGTCGCGCGAGGTTTTTCTCGCGCGCCTGCATTTTTTCCCTCTCCTTCCCTTCTCTCTCTCTCTCTC